TCGATGGGCTGAATTGCACAAAACGCGTGATCGCACCGGCTAGTCTGGTGCGCGTTGCCATTTATTATTATTGCTACACATTTTATAACGAAATTCTATATCCATTTGCACTTAATAGTCACTTTTGGGGTCCAAATATCCCTTATTCTGTCAAAAAATTCAGAGCCTGAGGGAAACTTGTGGGGGGGGGGGTCGTTTCAGGGTAATTTTAGTGTTGAAGAATATGGATTGACATATCATAATTTTTATTTGACTTCGTCCTAATGCTTTTTGTTCCAAATTTAGGAAATGTCGGATGAGATTGACTCGGATTTTGACGAAGAAGCGCATGAGAAACTGCTGGACACAATCAACAAATTGGGTGACAATAGCAGTACAAGGAAGAAACCGTTGATTAGAAAATGCAGTGAAAAAGTCCGAGCTCACGAATTGGTCGATCTTATCCAGTCCACAAAGTTTGTTTTTTATGCGTTTTTGCATAAATCAGAATTTCACCCAAACCTTATATATGAATCTTATATATATATATGTGTATATATATATACATATATATATAAGGGTTTGTCTACCTGCTACTATGATTTAATACTAGAACTAGGAAACCTGAGCCTCGAGGTCAGACACGAAGTTGACCCTCGCCGGGTACTTCGGTCTGAGTTCATTCTTGGTTAGCGTTAACTGTGTAGCGGTTTGTCTTTAGGCGGCGTTGGGTCTCCAAGCCATGGGCTACGCCAACCTCTAGTACAGTGATCTTATTTGACCGGTTGTCGAACACTGCAATGTCCGGTTGTCTGTGCACCATCGGCACTCGTGTAGGGGTGGCCGTATCCCATATATAAGATTTTGTCTACCTGTTGCGGTGATTTAATTCCAGAACTATGAAAGCTAGAAAGCTGAAATTTACAATGCACGGTGAGACTACGCATTGCATGTAATCAGTTCTATTGCATGAAATTGGAGTCATACATGCCTGGAGGATACAGCTTGAGTTTCACTGATCTGAGAAGGCTGTCACGATTGTGAGCTCTTGCAGATCCACAAATAAAAGTATCAAAATTTTAGCTTTCTAGCTGATTTTTTTCATGGTAATGGGCATATGAGCATGAAAGGCAGACCTGTGAATACATATATATTCATAAATCTGCCTTTATATA